GTGCTGTGGGAGTAACAACGTTCCCGTGATTTAAAGTAAAGAATCTCTGTGTTGCTGCAGTCGGAGGTTCCCCGAAGCAGTTTCTGGTTCTGTTTCCTGCACATAAACCCATCAGCACAGTGGATTCTCTCCAACATTATAATAGGACAATCTCTCTGAGCTGATGGCCACCTGGAGTTACTGTACACACACTCTCTGCATCATAATCGGCGTCGCATCTCGGTGTTTTTGTAGCGTGCATGTAACACAGTGCAGGAATGTGACTGCATATGAGGTGATTTAACTTCTGGTCTCTATTTGGCTTCAATTACTGACACAACATACACATGTTATTATATTTACACTATTATGGAAGTCAGATAGAACTTCCTGAAGAAAATTATCCAGATTTTGCTCAGAAAAACTACACAGCATGACAATAAATGTGGTGCCTAATAGATAAACAATAAGATATGTGTATGATCTGTGACTAAGAGTAAAAATAAATGCAATAAATCAGACTAGAATAGAAAAAAGAAGGGATTCTGGCAATGATGCTGAGGTGGTGAAGTGATATTACACACAATAATTAAATATTACATTATAATATTATTATTAACTATTGGGGAAGTAATTTTGCAAACTAATCTTGTTGTTCAGATTTAAATGTGGAATGTTTCAGCTGCTCTTCCTGCAGAAGGAGGAATTTAAAACAAGAAGATGCACAAAATGCTAAATTTAAAAATCTGAGCTTCTCTTTAGTTCTACCTCAGAATACTTGACATTTATCTGGTAGTGAAAAAAAGCTGTTTGTATCAATGCACCAGTAATTTGAGTTAATAAATGAATCTATTCCGTTCACATTCTGGACACGTTATTCTGATTTTTTCCCTCCAGCCGTCACCGCCCAGAGGACAAAGTGCTCGTTCCCTCTGCAGAGGTCTTGGTCTACACATTTAGAATGGTTTCTTTAATAATTTATCCGGACTTCTTCCAGGAAGCAACGCTATCTGGCCACACAGCGGATCGATGGAGATCAAAAGACAGTGTTTGGTCCTAAGCGCAATCCTATCCTGAAACGGCTCCAGCGAGGCTATTTCGGTGCCAGGTCCTGTGGCTGCCTGGCTGCCTGGCCGGTCTGTTTAAAGGTTAACAAAGAGGTTGGGGTTAGAAATCTGCATCATCTAGAAGATCCTCTCGCTCACACCAGGCGTCCCTGTGACCCAGTGTAATATATTTAAAATGAAAACAGCAGCTTTTAAGCTCAGTTTTTCTCTTTTTTTTCTTCTTTTCCGCTTTGCAAGGAAGTATTTCTTGAGTCATTGGTTTTGATCAACTACCTCATTAAGTCCCTGCAGATACATTAGAGTTATTTGCTGCTGTGAGAGAGTGAAAATCTTACTTATTGCACCATTAAGGTTCATTTAAGTTTTTTTGCGTGTTGTAAGATTTTGTCGCTAAAAAGGAGCTCAGCTGGTGTAATGCAGATGAACTGCCTCCACGGCAAGTTTGTCGAGACTTCTGCTCGTGACGACGTCTCATTCACAACCTCCACTTGTAGAAATGTTGGTTTTATTGGTGGATCCTAAAGATGTCACACGGGTAGTGTGTCTGTGCAGTGTTAGTAAGTGTGTGTGTGTGTGTGTGTGTGTGTTGTGACACCGCAGAGACACCTGTTCCATGTGCCATTCATCAGCGATGGCTACGACGCAGGGTTTTGACACGCTCCGTCGACATGACAGCTCAGACAGCATGGATGCTAATCTCTTCTAACTGCTCCCAGCCTAATTAAATCTTCCAGGGTCGCACACATGCGCACACATGTGGCGGTTTCTAAATCCGGTCCCGGTTTGTGCGTAAGTTTTAACGATCTGAGGAGTCGGCCCCCGAAGCGCTTTGTTTGATTCTGACGCTGTGAAATTCTGTGTTTAGTGTTTGTGTGCAGAGAGAGACTGGAGCTGGTTGGTCAGGTGGACTCACAAAGAGTTTGACTCCTTTTGTTGGTAGTTTACAGTGTTTATAGATAAAAAGCATGTAGGACCGCAACAGCATTGTTGTTTTTTATTGGTGGTGTTGTGCTGACATTTAAAATAAGAAAAATGAACTATTGAGACCATGGTAGTAACATAGATGTGATCATATCTTAAACAGTGAATATCAGGTGAGGACCACAGACTCTTTCTACCTCCTTTCACTTCTATTTTGAGTGTAATTTATTTGCTAAAAATGAGGAAAAACACACAGTGAAGAAAGATTTGTTGATGTTTTCTCATATTTTCTTTCACAATAACATTATTAGTGTGAATTATTTTGGCCACAATAATCCTGAAAATCTGATATTGTTGGTAATAAACGACGTAAAACAAGAGCTCCCCATGTACACCGTCGGTCATATCATTGTGTTTCTGTAGGTTTTTGGATCTCTTGAAAGACAAACAGCGATGGGCGACTTTATCGGTAAGAGTCTCCTTCAGTCTGACCCGACGCTACAGCCACATGAGAAGTTGTGTTTTGGTGTATATTTAATCTGAAGTAGATAAAAGAAAAAAGTAAACCCATGTCAAAGAGGAAAATCTCAACATATATGAGAGAGTTTTTGTTGAAGCTTCTGTCAACCAAATCCACACAAAACTGATCTTTGCGCTCGCGTGTGTGATAAGAGGACGGAAATGCAAACACAATTTCATGCAGAAACGAATACTGAAATTGCATCGGTCCTTTCAATCTGCTTAAATTTAACCTCATAGCAGCAGAGTGACGTTCGGTTTGTTTAGAGCCCTGAATCTACATATGGAGAGGAACATGCTACTGCAAGCTTACATAGCTGCCGTCTTTACTTTAGACGCTTTTCTAACATTAGACGCTCATTTAAATGAAAAGAATGGACTGAACAGACAGATGAGATGGACTTTACTATCTGATAATCTTATTGTATAAACGAACTGAGCAAAAGTGTGATTGGTTGTGACACAGTTTAGTTTATATAACTTATTTTATAGCCAGAATAAAGCATTGCAGATGAAGACGAGGGGTAAGTAGACCATGAACGACGTGTCAAAGCAGCAGAGATACAATCCACTGCTTCAGGGCCTGAAATCAAAAGCTTGTTTGTGTTTATGGGTTTTTTTTCTAACTAGCTAGTATCAAATCTAAATTAAAACAGTCTAAATCAACCAGTTAAGAGACTAAACTCTACCAGGCAGCCATATTAGCCTGTCAGCTAATCACCAACTACCCAAATCATGGATGGAAATTCTTCCCAGAAAACCCGCCATAGGCTCTTCTGGTGATATAAGCAATAAAAACAACCTGCGTAATATCCTGTAGCTCCCCCTTGTGGCACTAAACCAGCTTTGGCAGTTTGTTGGGGGGTAGAATCTCTATGAATCGGTTCGGATCTGGAAGTTTGAAAGCTGAGCTCTTGGTCGTGTTCCTCGAGCCATCGCTGAGCAGTTTAACGGTGTGGCTCGGTGAATGCAGCCTTTCTCATCGGTGCTGTTGTCTTTAGGAGGCGGTCCACGTGAACGCCAGGACTTGTGGTTCTGTCGGTGGTTTTAATGTTTCTGACTGATGGGTATCTATACCAGTGTAGACATGGATCGCTCCGTCTTTACCAAACAAACACCTCCGACTACAGCTCCAGAGAAACAACACAACACTCAGTGGTAGCACACATCCTAACTGTGAACGGTCCAGGGCTTTCCTACCTTTCTTATAAGCCTCTCAAACTTCTTCTTGTCTCGAAGATTAAAGACTTGACTCTCTGATCCAATTCTCGGTCGCAAGACAACAAGGCTCTGTTTAATCTGTTCTGCTTCAGCGACGTCGGAAGCAGACGGAGACTTCTCTACGCCACGTGCCTCCCTGCATCCCTACCTACCTGCCTGCCTACCTACCTGCCTCCCTGCCTACCTGCCTACCTACCTACCTGCCTCCCTACCTACCTGCCTCCCTACCTGCCTACCAGTCCACCTGTTTGTCTCGTCTGCATCCGTCCACACAGCCGGAGGAACTCGGCTTGTTTTCCATTCCCGGCCGCCGTCACTTTCTCCCGCCCTTTATTTATCTCCGTCGTGCAATTATCTGGCTGTCTCTTTGTCTCGCCGTGTGTTCGTCCGTCTCCACCTTTTCCCTCCGCTCGACTGTCTCCCGCCCTTGTTTTGTGCATCGCTGTGCCTCTGATTCGGTCTCCCATTCCTTCCTGGTGCCTGTGACTCTGTCATCTGTCCAGCCTTAGCACCCTCTGAGTTAAACAGGCCGAACAAATAGATTACAAACAGTGGGTAGAGTGAATCTAAGGAGGAAGACAATCTGAATTTGTTGTGGATAAAGAATGAGGAAAGAGGCTGTGCAGTCAAAGGAAGCCAGTGGAGTCAGAGTAAGGCTGTATTTGCCTGAGGGGAAAAGGCTGAAAAGTAGCTCTCGCAACAGATGTGCGGGGCAGTAAAGTGTAATTGAAATGCCAGCAGCAATGGTCTTATCTCCCTGCTACAGGAGCCTGCTGCCAGTCTCAACATCAGTTAGATGTCATTTTACCTAAGTCTGAATCAGCCTGCCACAATCCGCAATCCCCATTCCTCTGATGCTAGGCAGGAGGAAAAAGGGAGAAATGGATGAGGGGGAGGGAGAGGAGAAAGAAAAGGAGGGAGAGGAGGGTGGGGAGTCTGTAATAGGATTTCAGTAGCACCCAGTTAACTTCCACCACCTGGACTTAGTTGGTAATTTGATATGCCCCATCAATAGGATTCATTTACCCCACCGCCGTATTACCATTGCCATTCATTTGACTTTTTAAAAAATATATTGATTCATTTCTCTCCCCACGTTTTCCCACTCGTCCTGATCCTAATCACGCCGGGGGAGGGTGGAAGCAAGGAAGGAAGAGCTGTTCCTCAGTATTGTAGCTGTAAAAAAAGTCCTTAGACCAGAGAAGGTGGAAAGCCAGAACCACGGCTGTCCTCTGCGCTCCAGGCGAAGCTTAATGTTTTGGGCCAGGCAGCCTCCCCATGGGGAGGACCGTAATGTCCTTCCAGATTAGAGGCTGCCACTCCTCGGAGGTGCTGCCTTTTATCGGGAACTTTGCTACCACAACATAGGATCTTCTGCGGGACATTAAAGCCGCCTTATTTCCTCGCTGTAGCGTTAATGTGTCATGGCTCGGTGTGCTTTCGGTGTTATTCATGGTGCCGTTGCTCCACAGAACATGTTTTCAGCCACTTCCATCCAACGTGAGGCGGAAATGATGGAAATAAGATGTTTGAATTGCTTCAAAAGTCGCTGGATTTTTAATTAATATGATTAAATATAGAAGAAGCCCTCTGATGTTTAGTCTTTCTCACCGATCTCAGAGATCAAGGCGTTTTTATCCAGATTGGTATCACCCACACCTCAGGCCACTCCTTTGTTTACGTCTCCTCTCACACATTTATCCTGAAACAAGAACATGATTTGCAGCAGGATGTTCAGGGTGCACTTCTGAATAGCTTCCTAAATCAATAATTGGCAGCGTTATCAATCAATGATGGATCAATCAATAATACAAGTTGAGCACAGTGGACATTTATCAAGTGCTAATGTTGCTGTTTTAGTCGACAGACACATGATATGGACACAGAGGCAGCTTTTGAACGTATGCCACGGAGATATAAGGAAGCTGTCCTCGTCGGTTGTCTCGGAGGTCGTTGAGCGTCACAGAAGTCTTTGTCGTGGTGTCCGTTGCTAGCTAAACCCTCACAACACTAATCTTCCTTTCGTCTGAATGACCACCTCCTCTGGTTGTTACAGTATTAAACAGTAAGAGGCTCCCCCTGGTGGAACAACCAGGTACTACAGCTGATTTATAGCACATTTTCTTCCCATTCTTACGCCATAGCATTTCGTTGCATGTCTCCACCACCATCTTTAATTGGTGGTGGGAACATTTCTGCGCTTGCATCAGTCACATAATTGTGCACAAACAACACTGGGGCCCACTTGTAAGTAATGGGGCACTGCTAGCGGTTCCCACTAGGTTTTAATGTCTAACAGCTTTAATCGTTGTCTTTCAGAGGGTGATTTTCAACGTGGTCAACTTCTCCAAGACCAAGAGCCTGTACAGAGATGGCATGTCCCCTGTAGTCAAGTCTACCAGCCGGCCAAAATGGTAAGTACGTAACACCAGTTCTACAAGCGCTGAAGGTAAAACTAATCTCCATAATCGATTACACTGTTGGATCTTAACCTTCATTTTATTCATATGAAGTTGTGTTTTATATCATTTTTGTGGGGTTTTAATCCTTCATTGTTAAATTTCTCGTGAATTGACACGATGAACCTTAATATTGAACCTTGTTAGGACGGTTTTTGTAACCCTGTTTTTCAGTTTTCTGTGGTTTATAAACAACAGCCACGTGACTGCTTTACATTACAAACTGTACAGGAATGTGTTATCATCTGGAAACACTTTCTGTCCACGTTGTGGTCGAGCGTTTAAAGACTTTCTCCAACTTTGAAGCACTTTTTCTTCTCTGCCAAACAAGTCGGCACACACTCTCCATAACACACACACACACACACACACACATACATGTTTTTGCTACATGGTGAGGACTCCATTTTTGCCGTTTTTGAAACCTGCCTGATGGGGACCTCACTTTAAACATGAATTACAGGCGTTTTTTAACTCATAAAAAATTGATTTTAAGTCACAATTTTTTGGGGGAGATAGGCCCATCTGAAGTCACCTAAATCAGAAAAAATTCAATTTTTTATTTTTGTCTGGTGAACCACCATCATGGGGACTTTCAAATTATGTAATGCCGTGAACCACCAGTAGGTGTCACTTTTACAAATCTTTGTGAATACCCTTTGTTTCAATGTATTTATGGCCTGTATAAGGCAAGCAGTGGAGTTTAATATTTCTAATTAATAAAGTTGTATTGAAAAGAC